TGCAACACAACAGAGATGACCCCGGAGTAGAAACTGATGATGTTGTAAAGCTAGCATTGCTACATCTGTTGGGCAATGTTATGTTTGGGCACCAGTCATGTGTTAGTTTTCCTATTGGATACATTAACCTAGTAGATGATTTGGATGCATTCGATAAATTCCCATGGGGTGAAGTCATATGGGAAGAGTTGTTAACACATGCTGGGAGATGTGCACAATCCCTGAAAGCTCGTGGAAGGGGAAGAGTGACATTTGGAGGGTTTGTCTTTGCCTTACAGGTATGGGCATTTGAGAAATTTCCTTCCTTGAGAGAGTCAGGGCATTGTCAAATTGTGAAAGGAAAAGAAGATTGGATTCCACGTTGCCTAAGGTGGGAGATTTATGCAAAGATTTCAGCATAGTTTCTTCATGAAGCCATATTTGAAAATCCAGAGGTTCGTATTCTATGAAATTCTCTTTTAATGAGAATATGTAGTAAATCTGGATTATATTAATATTTTTTTTATTGTTTTAGACAGTTTGAAGTGTCAAAGATTGTTCCAAGTGAGAGGGAGTTAAATGATCCTTCATTGGCATTATTTGCTAGTGAATACAAAAGAAGGGGGATAGATGACACTGTGCAACATATTGGGAGCTCAGAAAAGGGTGCAACTGTAGCAAGAAATCTCAGTGTTGGCAGTGGTAGGAAAAGGAAACTTTCAACAACTGGAAATGCCCAAAACAAGCCAAAAGAGAAGAGAAAGAGAATTATTCACAGCATGAAAGGGGAATTTCTTCCAAAAAGAAAATCAAAGAGGAAGAAGGAGAGTCAGAGTCAGATTATAACAATTCTCAATGACATGAAAGAAATGCAGGAAAGCTAAGGGAAAGTGCTGAAGATGATCCTTGAGCAGTTAGAAAGAAAAAAGGGAGATGATACAGAGGAGAGGGGTTTTAAAAAGATAGATGATGAAGTTGTCAATGAGAATGTTGAGAGTGAAGACATGGAAAATAAAAACATGGGGAAGGATACTATTTTGGAAGAAGATGGCACTGACCATGGAGATGTGGGAAAAGATGGGACTTCTAGACATGATGACAATGATCAGTTGTCTGAAACACAGTTCAGTGATCAGTTCTTTGAACAAATGGACAAAGAAGTGAATGCTATTTTGAAAGGCACAATTGAAGGAAATGTAAGACCATTGACTCTTGTATTAAATAAGATAGTATATTGTGAATATGTGAAACTGTGTTATCATTATTATTGTCATGCAGATCTTTGAGAAGGAAGGTGGATCTGATATGGAGCCCGCAGCTAATGCGAATTTCGAGAAAGTGCAGATGGATTCTACAATTGATGAACAAGGAATCACTGTAAGTAAACATTCTTAAAAGAAAATACTGACTAAGTGGTATAAAGGATTCTGATGATGTGAAAGTGTTAACTCATTAAGAGTATTGTGTTAGATGGCACTGTCTGTGACAAAGTATACTGTGTTAGATGGCACTGTGCAGTGTGACAGAGTATATAATTGTCTTTGTATCAAGTCAGATTTGGCTGTAAACAGTGTAACTATTTATATTGTTTTGCAGTTGCCTGAGGAGGGGATGGATATAAAAGGGAAATGTATAGATGTGGATGTTGCAACTAAAGAGCTTGTTGAGCATGTGAAAATGGATATGATAATTGATGCACAACCAATAAGTGTGAGTGAATTATATTGAAAGCTATAATGGATAAAAAAGGACCTTGTGCCATAAATGGAAACTTAATGTTGCAAATTTGCAGGAATACAATGGAAATGCTGAAAATGAAGCCCCTTGTGTGCAGACACGTAAGAGTAAGAGGCAAACTAAAGCGCCCCAAAAGCTCTCACTATCAGGGCGAAAGGTGCAAAACAAGACACAGAAAATGAAGGAAGCTGTGAAGAGCAAGTTTGAAGTAACTCTGAGTCAAATGGAAGTCGTGATTGGACCATTCANCTGCTAGTGTTAGCGGTGGAGTCCAAAATAGTATGGGTTTATAATTCAAAGGGAGGGAGATCTCTTAAAGACATTGCTGAATATAGCACTTGCATCAAATGCCTTCTACCCAAGTTAATGGATTTGTGTGATGTCTACATTAATCATCCTACTGGACCAATGGGAGACAACAAGCTTGATTTGAAGGCTGCAGATTTTTGCCCACAACAGACTGATGCGTAAGTATCAACGTACAAAACAAAACATTATAGTTGAGAAATTTTTCTGTACATCTTTTAAATAGGGTCTCCTAATATATTTCTTGATTTTTGCAATGGGAATTGTGGTATGTTTGTGCTTAAAATTGCTGAGTACCTCATGATGGATATGGACATTAGGGACATCCGTACAGATCAGATGGCAGCATATAGGATGAAGATGGCTACAGAGCTAGTTCGATTTGCAGAGTCAAATATGGCTGCAAAGGAGTGACTATAAAACATATTGATGTTATTATCTGTTTTGTGTATTGAGCTAGTTGAAAACTCTATTGCTATTTTTGCTTTGTATGATGAAACCTTTGGTGTATGACAACAATGCATATGGTCAGTGATGTTCATTGGCATATTGCATTGTGACTTAGTTTCATTCTGTACTAGAATTCTGTGTTTGGGTACATGTGCCTTTGTTGTGTTTTGAAGTAATGTGAAAGTGAAACTGTTGAAATTGTGTTGTGTTAAACGTGTTTTTTAAATCAATTCTAGTGAAATAATTTCCTCTTTACGCAGTCATCAATGGAAGTATAAAGTGCATATATTTAAATTGTGTCAAAAAAAGACAAATAGAGAATAAAACAACCAATACAATGTGTTAAGAAAGACAAATAGAGAATAAAACATAAATTTGAAATTACAAGAGTACTGTGAAAAAAATGACACTCT